AGCTACTGTGCTGGTAGGTACACATGTATGCTAGTACCTGTTATACAACGAGTTATTTCAATGACAGTATCCTCTCTCAGTAGCTACTGTGCTGGTAGGTACACATGTATGCTACTAGTACCTGTTATACAACGAGTTATTTCAATGACAGTATCCTCTCTCAGTAGCTACTGTGCTGGTAGGTACACATGTATGCTAGTACCTGCTTTAACCCTCAAGAGACCAAGCTATTTTACTGACTGAAATGACCAAGTGGGGTCATCTATGACCCCATTGTGCTCAGTACAGGGATCCTTATTATAAAAGGCTGTTGAGGCTTTATCACACCCATACTACTCCCAGGATTTAAGACAAGTATTTTATAATGATCTAATGTAATAAGTATTTGGTAATAACATTTTTATTGCATGAAATAACCAAGCACAGATTTTAAGAACAACATTACACCGGTATTTAGACAATCCTTGTCAGTTTCCACTTGCAGAAATATTTCTCTTTTTATTTGCCACACTAAATGAAAAAAGTACATTACAAAATTACTTTGAATAAAAATATTTTGATTTATGTTGAGATAGCATCCTGCTAACTTCAATAAGAATAATTAACAGACTTGCTGAGTAGGGAATACCGGAATGCTGGTAAGGAAGTCATACTACTCAGAACACATTCAATCAACCTACATGTATGTTACTACCACGGCTGTGTATAAAACAAAATCCACACAAACAATTTGTTAATATATGTATAATATGATATCGACAGAATTATTTAGATTTCCGAAATACCCGAAAATTGTAACCGTCAAAATGAGAGACCCAGTTATGAGAACAAGTTCCAACAAAGCTACTGAAATTAGATTCAGCGATGCACTATTAGTAACACTTCAAGCACAATCTTCACAAACCACTTATTTGTGCCTATGTTTTGGGCACACTGGCTGGTTGCATGAAGCACATGCATGTGACAATTTTCTGTCAGTATTGCTTGAGCAAAACATTTGAATAGAATTTAAAAACTAATATGTAAAAACCAATGCTTCTCTTTGGGGTCATAAATGACCCCACAAGAGTTTTTGATGTATACGCCACACTAATTGGTTGATCCCTACAAAATACTGTGAAAGTGTGTAGGATTAGTAGACTGACAAACTCATGCAAGGAAAGAAAATTCAAATAAAAAATAAAGAGATGGCACATTAAATCATATGGCTGGGGTCGTAAATGACCCCACTCGGTCACTTGAGGGTTAAACACATATGACATGGTTACTTGGATATTGAAAAAGGCCGGAACACATGGGACATCAGTAGAATTGAGAAAAAAATGTGTGTAATCGTAAATCATAATTTTCAACAACATTTTCTATTATAACATGTGCAGGTAACTCAAGTCACCTTGTTAAGATAATGGCACACAGAGAGCCGGTTGCCCGCCATTTCTTAAAAAGGGAAATCCCCGCCCTAATGTTGTAGATTGATAATTTTCTGGCCAATAGATGTGTTTGTAACATTACAT